TTAGGATCGTGGTTTGGGAGCATGCAAAGAAAACAGGGAGAAAAAATATGGCAAATATTGGTGTTATGGAAAGCTAAGTTTCAAGAAAAGTTCTCAGAAGGAAGGAATAGGCAGTTGTGTCAAATGCTGCTTAGAGGTAAAAATAGCAAATGAATTACAGTGGGCTAACTGCTACAATAATAAATAGACCCCAAAATGTGTAATGGCTCAGATACAATATTCTTTTCCTCCTCATGTGAAAAGTATTAGGAGAGTGGTGGTGAAGAGGCCAGTCTGGCCTTCTCCCATTAAGTCGTTTAGGGACACAGACAAATGAAGGCTTTATCAACTTCAGTAGGTGGCACTGGAGCCATCTCCATTACAGCTAAGGAAGAAGAACATGGAGGATTGTGGGCCAGGACTGTGAATGGTACACACCTCATATTCCATTGGCTTGAGTTCAGTCATGGCCATCTATCTCCACTGTCAATGCTTATTGCAAAAAATAAGCCACACACACAGGAAAAAGAGGAACCAGTTTATTGTGAGTAGCTAGTATTTGTGCCACAGATAGCTTGGTCATAGTGACTTTTGGTAAGAACTACAGTGAAGTGATAGAGATGAAGCCCAAGGGAGGATTGGATGTAAGAAATGGAACTAATGAACACAGACTTCCTGTTGTAGTTTTACTATGAAGTTGAGCAGAAGAATGGGATAGAGGTTAGAGGGAAATGAAAAATCAAGGCAGGGTTATTTATTTATTTATTTTTCCTTTTTGTCTTTTTCCTGACCGGCAATGGATTGCAACCCTCAGTGTTGCGCCCACACTGGACCGGGACCGGCAACGGGACTGCAACCCTCGGTGTCGCGCCCGCACCTCGCTCAGCCAGTGAGTGGGAACCGGTCTGTATGTGGGATCCGAACCCTCGGCGGGAGCGCCGCCGCACTCCCAAGCAGTGCACTGTAGCAGTGCGCCACCTGGCCGGCCCCTCAAGGCAGGGTTATAAGAAGCATGTTAACAGTGCAAACAGTGTAGAGTTGTCTTTTTTTTTTTAATATGGAACACTTCACAAATTTGTGTGTCATCCTTGCACAGGGGCCATACTAGTCTTCTCTATCGTTCCTATTTTAGTATATGTGCTGCTGAAGCCAGCACCAATGTATAGTATTTTTAATATTTGAGGAGTGGATTTCTGTTCACCCCGTTACAGATGTGTTGGTGACTGACAGATCAAGATGTGTATGTTGAACTTGGCAAAGTAAATGGTATATTGTGCTTTAGGTTTCCAAATCTATCTGTCTTTTTAATCACTTTTTAATGTAGTAATGAGGTCATTAAATAAAGGACTAGGTTGCCAATAGAATTAACTCTTCTGTGGTAAGCTCCTCCCATAAAGAACTTCAGAACTTTAAAATGAGTTAGTTCATTTTATTAACAGAATGGTGGAATACAGTATATATATAGTTGCATGCTGCGTAATATACTGATAACAAAAAGCCTTACTTGTCTGATGATTTTATAGCTCTTCCATTCACTTGGTGACTCAGTTGAGGTGATGCGAAAAACATAATCAATCTGGATCTCATGGAACCTAAGTGAGAGGCTCTTTTGGGGGGTAGGGGAGCAAGAAAATGGCCCAAGCACATTGTTTCTGAATGTCAGGTTATGTCAAGAATGATTGTCGTGAAGTCATTTAACTAAAGTGATTGCTAATGTGAGGAAAATGGCTCTACTGTAAGCTAAAATAGATAAATTTATTGAAAAAGACAAATTTCTGGAGAAACTACATATTTCCTATCCCCCTGTAGTCTATTCTTTTTATTGAGATAATTTACATAACATAAAATTCACCTTTTCAAGTGTACAATTCAGTGGTTTTTAGTATATTCACAAGGTTGTATAACCATCACCACTATCTAATTCCAGACTTTTTAATTACCCCAAAAAGATATCCCATAGCCATTGGTAGTCACTTCCCATTCCCATCTGCTCCTATCCCCTGGTGACCACTAATCTACTTTCTGTTTCTAAGGATTTGCCTATGCTGGACACTTAATATAAATGGAATCATATAATATGTGGTTTTTTTATGTTTGGCTTCTTTCATTTAACAGTGTTTTCAAGATTCATCCATGTTGTAGCACATATCAGTACTTCCTTTTTATGCTAGAGTAACATTCCACTGAATGAGTATACCACATTTTATTTATTCCTCAGGTGATGGACATTTTGGTTTCCACTTTTTGGCTATTGCAAATAATGCTGCTATGAACATTCACGTACAGATTTTTGTGTGAACATGTTTTCATTTCTTAGGTACATACCTAGAAGTGAAATTGCTGGTTCCTATGGTCCTTAGTCTGTTTTCACCTTTGAATTATTGCCTTCTCTAAAGGTCTTCTCTCTCAATGTCCATCTCATGCACTTCCACAGTATTTTCTTTAGATTTTTAGAACATTTTCCCTTTGGTGATTAAAATGTCCCTCTCAACCTCTTCCGGTATAGTCCCACTTGGGTAGTTTATGTTAATTGACTTTTCATACTGTGACCTTGATTCCTTGAACTCAATGACATTTTCCTTTCAGCTTTCTACCCAAAGGAACAAACATTCCACCCTTTGAAACTGATCATCATCTTGTGCCATTTCTAAGATCCTGAATTCACAAATTGCTTTCCCTGATAACTTTTTCCTCCTATTTTTCTCCTATTATTCTTCATAGCTCTTATGATCTCCAGTCTCTTAGTGCCTATTTTCAGTTTATTAACTCACTGCTGTCATAATTTATCTTCCTGTCTAGCTGGAACCCATGGCAAGCCATTTCTTAACCCCCTTTTTAAGTCTCCTTGCACTACCAGTTCTCTAACAGAGGTAGCTTACACATGCCATCTATTTTCTCCTTTCTTGCCCCTGGGGCAAGTCCTGTGAAACAAGGTCAGTTGGTTTCACCATTAAATTCGTGGTATCCAGGCTCAAGTGGGCACATTTTACTATTTTATGTTCTTTCATATTAAAATGACTTCTTGTCATAACTATCTGTTTCAAGGAATTTTTGCTCTCAAATCCTTGAGCCTCAGTCTCACCATTACCTTTTCATGCAAAATTGAACTTTTACTGAGAAGATCTAGGCCAGCTAATGTGTCTGCCCTACACTTTTCTCGGTTTTCCTCTTTTTCTCTAAACCTCTTCAAGACTAAGCCCTTTTCAAACTTTATTACCTTCTTCTCTTCACTACCTCTCCTTGGTTTTTCATTAATTATTCCTTTGCTTGCCTCTTTAAATCCCCTCTCTCTCCATTTTTTCCCCTACAAATATTTCCCTGTTTAAAAAGAAAAAATAACACTATCCTGTTTCTACTTAATACTACCTGCTCTTCAACACTTGTAGATGGCTTTACCCAGGATGTGTAGTTCTTGAATACCCTCTGTCTCCTTTTCAATTGGCTTTCAAACTCAATTCTCTTTGAAGTTGTTTTCTCCAGCATCATCTGTTCACCAAATTCACCATTTTCAGTCTTTATCATTTTGGTTCCCTGTGGTATATAAACGGGTTGTTTAAGTTAAAGGGCATCTCACTAGTAGGGGCCTTAAAATGTTTAAATGGTTGAATATTTTTATAAAATTAAAGCAAAATATTTTTGCACTCTTGTTCTCGAGCTTCAGGCCCAGCAAACCTGAATCATTCCCTCTTATACAAGTTCATCAGATTGTGCCTATAGAGATAACAAAATGGGGCATGGCTCCCTTCAACTTGGTCACAGCTAAGGACAGAGCTAATTGCTACATTAAGACTCACATCTTGGATTGACCAAAGAATTCTTTTCTTTCCTTACCCAGGTCCCAGATGTGGCCCTCAATATTACAGGTTCAAGAAGTAGATTTTAGGCAGTCTGGACAAAGTAATTAGGCACTGGAAGATTAATGGTAACCAAACACACAAAAGATTACAAACAGAATATTTCTAAGTATACTAGAAGGAATCAATACCTTAATATTAACTATTAATACTTTAATACTGACTAGGGTATAAATGCCTGCTATCCAGGATACTCTTCCCTGGATCAAGGTATTTTAAAGGCCAAATATGATTATATAATACGTTTAATTATCTCCATAGAAAGTGAAAGAAAAGGAAAATAACTGGCCTTAAGGTTTCTTTGTTGCCTCAAATTCCTTTAAAATGGGGCAAGCCCTGTTTCATGTGTTGACTTCAGCACGTGCATGACTTTGACCTACCAGTCTTGCCCGGTCCTGGATCGAATTGGTCTATGTTGCAAACATTTTTACACTTAAGGCAAATTTTAATTAAACATCGCAAGTCCCAATTCCACTCCATTTGGCTGCCAAGCGCCGATATTGTGCATCTCTGCCAGTTTCGTAACCATCCCAACACGTTCCCTCATTTCATTCATGTTCTCTCTTCCCGCTCCTTGATCTCAGTGCCCAGGCTGCCCTCCCCAAGGGCCCTCCTAACGACAGGTCTGTCATCACCTACGTTCTTTCCTACTAATCATCACCTCCTACACTCACTCTCGTCTCCTACCTGGCCCAGACTGGCCCCACTGCTCAAAAAAGAAAGGAAGCATGGAATCGCTGCCCCGCGGACCCTCCCACGTGAGGGCGCTCGGGCCCGCTCCCCGCCCTAGCGGGGAAGCTGCGAGGAATACTTCATCGCGCTCTTTGCACATAACCACCCTCTTAACCCTCCGGCACCAGAATCGCCTCTTGCCCCCAATTGCGAGCAGAGGTCTTCCGGCGAACGCGGAAAGGTGCCTCCTAACTGGAGAAGGTAGGCGTGTGGGATGCAGGCGTCTGCGCATCGGTGAACAGAAACTGGGCCGACCCAGGTGAAGGGGCGGGGCGCTCAGCCAATCATAGCTCGTGACAACAGGGCGCGGCCAATCGGAACAAGGGAAGCCTGGCGCTCTCGGGGCGGGCCCGGGCGGTGAGGACCCGCCCCCTTGCAGCTTGGTGGCCCACGCCTTCGCCCAGGGCTCGTTGGAGCAGTGCTGGTTCACAGAATAGACGGACTGGGAGCTTTCCGAGCTGAGGGGCGGAGCCCTCTCACCCCAGCTGTTTCTTTACAGGCTTTGGCCTTAGCAGGTGTTGGTTAGCCGTGGGCGCATTCTTACCTGGGTCGTCTCTCTCTCTCTCGAGACTGTGGCTATGGTTGGGGATAGCGTGAGGTCGTTTCCTTGACGACGACAGCATGCGGCCCGCGGTCCTCCTACGTGTGAGTTTGCGGCGGGCCGAGGCCCATCTGCCTCCCTGCCTGCTTCCCTTAGGAGCCGCGACTGTGTCCGCAGAAGAAATCACAACAGCATCGGAATTGCTAGTTTGCTAGTCAGCGTAGTATGTTTTAGACCTGCGAGCGAGATGCGTGAAACAAATTTCACCTCAAATTTGTTTCCAAGTTGAAAACCTTTGGGTCTTTCTATGTGAGACGATTTGAAGAAACAGTAAGTATAATACTGTTGAAAAGCTTCTATATTTTGTTATCTAGAAAAGAACTCAGTCTGTCTTTAACAAAATAAAACATTAGCATTATCCAAGTATTTTATTTAAATTGTTGGTATTAGAACCATATGCTTACATGACACCTATCCTGAAATAGCACACTGCCAATTGGCCAGGCTTCTTTTCAGTTTGTATTACCCTGAGATCCGAGAGTAGAAGGCATGAAAAGTGATAGTTTGACTGTTTCAGGAGAAAAGGGGCTTTGTAGGCCGTGATACTTTTAAGATATTTGTGGGCAGTACCACTTGAAAAAACAGGTGTTCAATGTAGTGTGTCCAAATGTGCATACTGTTAGCTAGTGATATGCTTCAGAACGCCTCAGGCAAGCTTAAGGTAATTTTAATTTTGTTCACTTTGCATTTTCAAATATTGAGGACTCTGGTTACAGAATGTTTAAAAATGATCCAGGTTATAGATTCCAGCTATTTTTGTCATTGGTGTGATAAACCTAAAGCCTAGTCCTTAATAAAACATACTCTCTTAATGGAAGGGAAAAAAAATAAGGAAAGGAGGGATGGGATTACGCTGATAATTTTTTTCAAATACAAACATTTTATTATAAATAGTTAATAGAATTTAAATGGAAGTTAAAATGTCAAATGTATGAGAAGTTAAGTGTCTGGGCCACTGCTCTGTACTATCAATACTGGCAGTAAAATAATGAAATAATTTGAGTTGGTGTTGATTGGAATTGTTTTCTATTTTTTCCTCTTGAAGATCCATCTTCTGGTTCTTCATGTATATCCACAATGAAAATATGCATATAATAAAACCTCAAACTATTAAATGTCAAGTGCAGAAAATGTATACACTGGATTATCATAGTTTGCTAGAACAAAGAGAGAATTTGTTTTGTCTTTTCCATTAGTGTACCAATTCACAATCTAGGTAAATAAGTTTTAGATTGCTATAAGCACACGATATAATAGGCGAGATTTTTTTTTCATTCTTCAGTCTTATGAATAAAGTATTTTTATATTATCAGGTTTAAAAAAATTTAACTATGAATCGTCCTTTGAATACACAGTTCTGATTTAGAGCAGTATTTTTATTCTTGACTTCTGAAATTTAATTTTAAAATCAGATTTTAAAAACAAATTTAACTTTGAAGTTGTAGTTTAATAGCTTTTATATATCATGGCATTCAAACCTTATGAATTAAAATCTATCTGTATTTGGACTGAAATAATTTTTTTTCTGTATCAAAACATGTAGGGGAATGATTGTTGGACCTTCATCAATCATTGCTAAAACCAGACGGCTGGCAAGTTAGCTCAGTTGATTAGAGCACAACAGCCTTGTAACACCAGCATCAAGGGTTTGGATTCTCATATTGGCCAATAAATAAAATAAGAAAGACTCTATTAGGATTGCCTTTATTCAGAAAATGTCACAAAATGGGATGCATAAATATTCTAAAAACAATTCAAATGATTCATACTTATAGTGAGTAATCATTAAAAGGATTTTTGAAATACTGTGTTTGGTAGTACTAATATTTAATTTCTTTTTAAAAATCTGCTTATATGCTGTGATATCATTGCTCTTATTTTGTAAATTCAATATAGTAATTTAATTAGTATTGTAAGAAAAGTAAAGAAAAATATTTTATCAAAGATTCTTAGTGTTAATTTGGTAAGTGATCATTTTGTGATCAAATATTTTTCCCAGTTGAGTAGAAAGTGCATAAAGATTTCCAATTGTGATCTTTTAAACCTGGGGTAAAAAAAAAATAAATTTGATCTTCATTAAAACCTAATTCAATTGCATCCTTTCCACCTTTCAGTGAAAAGGAATTGTACTGTTCTAAAGTGAGCTGTAATTGTTTTGTATGAAAGTTCAAGTACTGCCTTATCTTAAGATATATTGAATTTCATTAGTGTGACTTTTAGTAATTTAAATTTAATGGCTTTGATTTAGTTTGCCTTGTCCATTATAAAATATGTGTGAATATTTTGAAAACATAGCTTAGGTGGTGGAAACACTGAGAAATGATGACTTAGCACAAGACAGCCATGAACACAATGACTACTCTAATCTGGAAAACAAGCAGGGGGAAGAATTAATTTGCTGGGTAGGTGGAGAAAATTAATATACTCAACACTGTTAACTCTTTGTTTTGGTTTCCACAGCAAGAAAAATTCCTACTGGTTTTAAGTTAAAATGGAAAAATATCAGAACCTAGGATTGGTTGGAGAAGGGAGTTATGGAATGGTAATGAAGTGTAGGAACAAAGATAGTGGAAGAATTGTGGCCATCAAGAAGTTTTTAGAAAGTGATGATGACAAAATGGTTAAAAAAATTGCTATGCGAGAAATTAAGTTACTAAAGGTGAGTAAAGGCATATACTGAATTTAAAAAAATGAATTTTTTCTTGATCAAGATTAAGTAATGGTCTTAGAAAAACATTACTGTTTTTATATTTCTTTTATGTTCACAAGGTTTAAAGTATAAATTTTTTTCAGTAAGAAGAAATAAAATGATTATATACATATTCATTTATTTTATGAGTATAAACATGTTTATAAAAGTATTCATTCCTTCTCTCTATATCTATCTGCCTATATATCTCCTATCTGTCTGCCTGTCAGTCATCTGGCCATCTATCCTCTGTTTTGGGGGTCCCAAAGACCACCCTTCAGGTTTGATTATTTATTAGGAGAACTCAGTTTGCAGCATATAGCTGTACTCATGGCTATGATTTATTACGGTGAAAGGATATAAAGCCAAATCAGCAAGGGGAAAGGCACATAGCATGAATTCCAGAGGAAACCTGGCACAATCTTCCAAGAATCTGCTTTCAGTAGAGTCACACAGGATGCACTTATTTCCTCTGGCAATGAGTTGTGACAACACATGTGCAATATTGTCTACCAATTAATTAGAGACTCAGTGCCCAGGGATTTCACTGGAGGCTGGTCACATAGGCACTGTCTGCCTGGCATGTATCAAAATTCCAAACTCTCAGAAGAAAAGCAGGTATTCAGCACAAACAATGTCGTTTGCACAGTGAACCACTTTATCAGTTCTGGAAATGAAGTGAACCTTCCTAAAATCCAAGTTCTCAGGTGCCAGCCAGGAGCTCACTTTGCAAGCAGACTTTTCTAAGGATAACAGTCTTAGGCCTGCTTAAAATATTTTCTTCTCTCTTTAGTTTATTTAGTCTTAAGATATTTTCTTCTTTCTCATTAGTCTCACTAGAAGTTTATCAATTTTATTTGACATTAGAAAGAATCAACATTTCACTTAGTTGATCTTCTCTGTGTATTTTTCTACTTCATTAATTTTTGTTCTTTATTATTTTATCCCTTCTCCTTATTTTGCAGTTCTTGCTTCTAACTTGTTGAGATACTTCTTTAATTTCTAAATTTTTTGTCCCTCAAATATACATTTAAGTCAAGAACAGCTAAGAACTTGATATGTATCCTAGAAATTTTTATTATTACTTCAAAATATTTTCCCATTTCTCTTATATTTTCCTTAATCCCTGAGTTATTTAAAAGTATATTTTTAAAATTCCAAATGTGGAAATTTTCTAAGTTTTTCTCTCCTGGTTATTTATTTGTGACACAAGTGCCCTATGATCTGAGTATATACTATATAAGAATTTATTCCTTTGAAATTTCTTGATATTTGCTTTTTGGTTCAGTATATAGTCAACTAGAAAAAATTATTTGTGTGTGCTTGAAAAGTATTCCATGTATGTCCATTAGGTCATGTTTGTTAATGGTGTTATTCAAATCTTCTTAATTCTTTTTTGTTTATATTTATTTTTTTCACTTATTGGTTATACATATTTATGGAAAACAGAGTTATATTTCAACACCTAAACTCTTACTGATTTTTTTATTTTGTATGTTAATTCTATCCAATACTGATTAGACATATGTTAAAATCTTCCTTTGTGATTATTAATTTGTCTACTTTACATTGTAGTTCAATTAAATTAACTTTATAAACAGAAAGACCATATTATTAGTTCATCAAATTTAGAATTAGTATATCTTCCTGTTGAATCAAATATTTTATCATCATGAAATAATACTTTTTATTGTAATAACATTTTATTTTAAAGTCTCTGTTAAAGGGCCGGCCCGGTGGCGCATGCTACAGTGCGCCGCTTGGGAGCGCGGCGGCGCTCCCGCCGAGGGTTCAGATCCCATATACAGACTGGTTCCTGCTCACTGGCTGAGTGAGGGGCGGGCGCAGCACCGAGGGTTGTGATCCCGTTGCCGGTCCCGGTCCGGTACGGGTGCGACACTGAGGGTTGCGGTCCGTTGCCAGACACGAAAAAAGACAAAAAAGAAAAAGAAAAAAAAAAAAAAGTCTCTGTTAAACCAGTAAGGCTACACTAGTTTAATTTTGGTTAGTGTTTCTGTAGTATATCTTTTTCCATAATTTTACTTTCAGTTTTTCTAGATCCTTGTTTAGATGTGTGGATCTCTTGTAAATATCATATAGTAACATTTTGCTTTTTATCCTATTTGATAATTTTTGCATTTTAATTAGAGCATTTAGTCCATTTACATGTAATATAATATCTGATGTATTTTGGATATAAATTTACTTCCCTATGTGCTATTTGTCTTACCAGTTCTATATTTCTTTTTCTTTTCTTACTTTGGATTGATTACATTTATTATTCCTTTTTTGCCTTTCCAATAATTTGGAAATTATACATTATGTTTCTGTATTTTCTTGGTTATCCTAGAGATGTGTTAAAGTCTAATGTTATCCAATACTTCTTTTTTTTTTTTTTTTTTTTTTGGTGACTGGACAGTACAGAGATCAGAACCCTGAACCTTGGTGTTATCAGCACTGCATTAACTGTCCAGCCTTTTTTTTAATCCAATAGTTTTATCCTTTTTCCAGACAATAGAAAAACCTTTATCTCTGGTCATTTTCTTCTATCTTATGTGCTAATATTGCCATGCATTAACTCTTATATATATTTATATATATATATATATATATATTTTTTTTTTTTTTTAACACCACAAGACGTAATTATTGTTCAACATTAATTTAGGTTTATATTTAGCACTTTCTTTGTTCTTCTTTCTTTTCTATATCTCAGACCATTTGTCTGGAATCTTTTCTCTTTTTCTTGAAGTATATTACTTAGGATTTCCTTTTGTGAGCATGTACTGCAGGCAAAATATTTCAATTTTAGTTTGTGTGAAAATGTCTTTATTTTGCTGTCATTCTTGAAAGATACTTTTGCTGTGTGTGGAATTTTAGGTTGTATTAATTCTCTGCTATTTTTTGTCAAATGAATGTAACATTGTGTTGTCTGCTGGCCTCCACTGTGGCTCTTGAGAAGTCAGTTCAGTCCAACTGCTGTTCTTCTGTGAGTTTGTTCTTTTATGTCTGGATCGTTTTATTTTTTATCTTTTAACTTTTTATTGACATATACATACAGAAAAGTGTGCATATCATAAGAATACATCTCTATGAATTCTTCAAAACTGAACAAGCTCATTTAACAAGCGTCTAGTCAAGAAACAGAACATTAAAATCACCCTGGAAGCCTCTGTTATACCTCCTGCAGTCACTACTGCTTTCCTCCTCCATCCGGGTAACAGCTATCCTGACTCCGAACAGCAAAAATTAGTTTTGTTGTCTGACTACTTATATTTTGCCACTTAAGTTTGTTTTTCTGAAGTTTCACTGTGATGTTTCTAGGGTGGATATCTTAATTTATCCTGCTTAGAATTCATTGGATCTTCATGAATCTATGATATAATTTCTTAATTTTGGAAATTTCTCAGTTATTATTTCTTCAAATAGTATTTCATCCCATTCCTTTCTCCTCTACTTTTGGGACTCCAGTTAACATATATCAAATTTTCTCATTGAAGTTTCTGTGCCTCGTTTTTTTCTTTCCATCTATTTGTCTCTCTGTGCATTGTTCTGCATAGTTTATTCTGACACATGATTTAGTTCATGAATTCTCTCCTCAATATGTCATTAATCTCCTTCATTCAGTTGTTAACTTAGGGTATTGTATTTTTAAATTTTTTAAATTGTGAAATACAACACACATATAGAAAGTGCACAGAACAATAATTATAGCTCAACAAATTATCAGAAAGCAAACATTCATGGAACCACTATCCAGATCAAGAAATAAAATATTGCCAACAACTCTTTTCATGTACCATCACAGTCACTGCCCTTTAAGGTTAACACTGTCCTGACTTGATGTTAATCACTGCCTTGATTTTTTTATTTTACATTTATCAACTAAACACATACATTTCCAATCACTCTAGTTTACTTTTACCCATTCTTTAAAAAAAAAAAAAACACAAACATAAAAAGGGTACAGATCTTAAGTGTACAGCTCAGTCAATAACCAAAAAATAAATATACCTGTGTACCGACCACCCAAATCAAGAAATAGAATATATCATCACCTCATAAGCCCCCTCAAGCCTTTTCCCAATTATTGCACCCTCACTATAGTTATATGCTAATTATGTGTTGCAGATTTCTTCTCTACTCTGTGGGCTTTCTTTTCACTCTCTTAATGGTATCTTTTGCTAAACAGAAGTTGCTAATTTCAGCGTAGTCAAATTTTTAATCTTTTCTTTTATGGTTGGTGCCATTTATGTCCTGCTTAAGAAGTTTTCCCCTATCTAGAGATTAGGATAGTCTGTATTATCATCTAGAAGCTTAATAGTTTTGCTTTTCATACTTAGATTTTGGTACACCTAGACTTGATCTTAATTATGGTATATGGAACTGTCAAATCTTATGTATTTTGTCTTATGGATGTGCAGTTGTCCCAGAAACATTTATTGAAAATACCTTCTTTTCTCCACTGTTCTGAACTCCCTTTTGCCACATGTTCTTACATGTAGGCATAGTTTTTCTACTCTTTATTCTATTCCTTGGTGTAGTTAATTCTTATAATTTTATGTTCTCTTGATATCCATTTTGAGCATGAGTTTAACTTTCTCATATCAGAAGTATATGGCTCAGTCATGCTTGATACAGTTTTCGGTTCTATACTACACCCAAATGGCTCAAATCAGTGGTCACACATAAGAATTTAGAGGCATCTCTTCTGCCTAGCAGACTGGGGCTTCCTGCTTTGCTGCAGCTTTCTTTAAGTGAACCATTCAGGCATTTTCCTGCAAACTTAAAATGACCCACACCTTATTCTCTTTTTAAAAATATTTTATTTTTTTAATTTTATTTTTGGCCACAGAACAAGTCTTAATACATTTAAAAAGACTAAGATCATAGAAAATATGTTCTCAAACCAAAATAACAGAAGGAAATTTAGAAAATTCACAAATGTTTAGAAATTAAACAACACTCTC